TTGACTAATAATGATTGTGTGTCAGGTGCCACAAAAGCAATGACTTGTATGCTTGTGTTCAATGAAAAACCTGCAGCAACTGGGAGCATATAAAGTGTGTTTCTCAGTTAATATTTTTCATGGCAAAAAAGAACTAATATGTTCATGCATGTATTGTTTGTTAGACATTGTTGGAATAAAAATAGTTTGATTTCAGTATGTACATCAAACTGAAATGTCCACACACACAAATCACTCAGTTTAATGAAGATCGTTCTTCATGGCAGAAGCATGAAAGAATGTTTGCCATTTAAGTTTGGACCATCAACACTTAATTATTTGTTTCTGAATAGTCCAAATTTAAAATGTGTGTCAGGGGTCACATATTTGACATTGTTGCTAGTGTATATTTGTATTTGATGTCAGTGTGTGTTACTTTATATTTTAAACCATTTTCATGATCAACAAGTGCACTATTAAAGTTCAGCAATTTATACAATTGGAATTTTGCATCACAAAACATGCATGCAATCATGCATATAATCATGCATATAGAAAAAATATCATTCAGGAAACTAATGTTAACATTGGTTAATATATCTGCCCAATCATTTCATACAGAAACTTGGGTTAAGTCAATTTTGACCATTTTTTTTAACTTTTTAGACTCTTCCATTTGACCCTAATTTGTTTTATTTTTGGTGTACAGATCACTAGCTTCAATCTGTTCAGTCATATGAAAAGATGAATTTGACAAAATCTATTCCAAACTCGTTCAACCTCGTTCAACCACGTTCAACCTGTTCAACCAAATGAAAAGATGAATTTAACAAAATCCATTCCCTCTCCGTTCAACCACGTTCAACCTGTTCAACCAATTGAAAAGATGAATTTGACAAAATTCACTCCAAACTCGTTCAACCTCGTTCAACCTGTTCAACCAAATGAAAAGATGAATTTGACAAAATCCATTTCATCTCCCTTCAACCACGTTCAACCTGTTCAACCAAATGAAAAGATGAATTTGACAAAATTCACTCCAAACTCGTTCAACCACGTTCAACCTGTTCAACCA